CTGCTTATAAGAATGACTTGAATTGACAGAGTAAAGCTGAACCTCCTAGAAAATGATTTTCCCTGCTTTTAGGAAGTGCCCATGGAGATCAGTGTTTTATCCTGTATTTGTGCAGCACCTACAGCAACGGGTTCCTGTTTCATGAGCTCAACCCATAGTCGCTATCACGGTGCAAACAGCAAAAAAATGCACGTAGTTCGGGGCCAGTGCTGTTTCAAATGGCCGTGAATCCTTAGGTTTTCCTCTTTATTTCAGCTCGGGAGGTGCAATCGGGTGCTGTAGCTAACCAGGAATAACGACGTTCCCAGCTGGCACCAGCCCCTCCTCTTGGGTTTGATAAAAAGGCAGCAAGATGGTTGTGTTGGACGAGGAGCTGAAAATGGGATAACAGGGGCTTTCCCTTCCTCTGTATTCCCATCTGCCGTGTTTCCGTACAGACTGGGAAGGTTTAGTCTATCCAGTGCTCCGAGTGGATGCAGCGAGGAAACGTTGCCTCATCCGCAGTAAGGAAGGACGGTCGGAACCGTAAGGGCCGATGTGATCGGGCCCCGCCGCTTCGTGAGGGCTTGTGAACTTTTAAATAAACAGCTGGGTTTGAGATGACTCTGGGGCCAACGGGATTTAAGGGGGGAAGAAGGATTTGAGGCTACTGAACTAGTTGATATGGTCTTGAACTGCTCTCGGGCAGATCCTTCTCTCCCCACAGCCTGTGTCCGATGAGAGAAGAGCCCTCCAGTTGTGCTGGAGCCTGACGCGGTTGTCCCAAGGACCTGTCCCGTGGCTCCTTCCAGCCCCTTGCCTGTCCTCCTGACATCCTCCGGGAGGATGGCCTGGGCACAGCGGGATGCGCTCGGCTCCGCTCGGCCCTGAGCAGGGATGCGGGATTGTCCCTGTGCTGTGATCTCTGCTAGGGCAGCGTGATGTGCTGCAGCTGCTGTGGGGCTCGGCCAGCTCCACATGCCCGGAGAAACCTGGCAAACGCCTTGGGAATTGTTAGCGGAGCGCACGAAACGCGGGACACGGGGATCGGCAGCGCCTCCCCTCCCGGGGCCCGTCGGAGCCCTGTCCTCCGCTCGACCCGCTCTGCTCCGACGCTTCCCTGGATGCTGCCAGCAGGACCTGTTAATCCGCGTGGTAATGGATCGGGCATCAGCACATCTGTGCCCAGGCACCTGCAGCCACCAGAGTCTGAAAATAGTGATATTGGCCCAAAATATTCACCCTGAATACCTTGCACGCAGGGAGCAGCAGCGCCCAGAGGCCCTGCAGCCATAGCCTGGCTGTTCCTGCCTGTTTCTGGCCATTCCTCACCATAGCCTGGCCATTCCTGGCTGGTCCTGGCTATTCCTGGCTGTAGCTTGGCCATTCCTGCCCTTGTGGTGACTCGGTCCTGTCCCCCATAGGCCCAAGCGGGCTCTGCTGCCACGTCCCTTCTACCAGGGACGATGCAAAACGTGACCTTCCCCTACTGAGGGTGTCGGGCATCGCAAAACCCGTTTCTGCACGATGCCATTTGCATGTTTACTTGATAGAAGCTGAGCGATTTGAATGGGAAGGCAAAGACCTATCACGCTCCCTTTGCGCAAGGCCTCTCCTTTTCCCTTTCTTTTTGCATGCGTGTCCTTGGCTGGGATAGCATCCCGCGGGATGGGCTGTCCCAGCAGGAGCGCGGCAGGGCCCGTGTCCCCGTTTTGTGACGCACCTCGGAGGAGCCGGAGCACTTGGATCCATGGAAGCTCCGCGCTCTTCCCTGGCCCAGCATCACTTTAAAGCTGGAATTCTCACATGCCGTCGTGGGTGGGAAAGGGGACCATAAAGCTCCGGCAGCGCAAAGACACAAAACTCCCCTTAATTACGAGAGTGGGAGTTTTCTATACTGAAAAACAGATTTGATTTTAAGAGCTTTAAGTGACTTTTCTATTTGAGAGCTTTATAGTAAACAAAATGTGATGAACTCACTCAGTGACTCACTGCAAGAGAGGTTTTTGGTTCTCCGTGCGGCGTGTTCCTGTCAGAGCCTTGTTTTAATTATCCTTTCTGGCGAAGAGATCTCGATAACAGCTCGGGCGAGGCAGGAGGGAAGGTCATCAAGATAGTTGTCCCCGCCTGGCGTCGCCGCCGCGGCGCGCGGGGCCGGTGACAGGGCCGGCGCATCCGCGCGATGCTATCGGCGCATCCGGTAACTCTAGAAACGGTCCCGGGGCAGCGGGAACCGCGGCTGATGACAGGGCCCTGTCTTGTCCCTGCCTCCTCTCCGGGCCGCTGCGCCGGTTTCTACCCCAACGGGAGCCCTTTGGCCGCCCTCGTGCTTCGTGTGGCCCTTTTGGACCCGCTCTTGGTGGCGGTGCTGATGGGTCCACTGGGCAGAACCAGGACAGGGGTCTGTGCGTTGTTGTTGTCCTCGCTTTAATCCTCCCTGCAAAGCAGGGCTCTCGCTACCGAGCGTTTCCCACGTTCTTAGAGCCGCCCTGCAGCTCTTGCTGTATGAGACACCCTGTGACTACACCGGGTTTTTCCTGTACCAGCTTCTTCAGGTTCCTACTTGGCTAAAAATTACCACTGTAAATTATCTGGACTCACTGATTCTGAAAGCGTTTAATAGTTTCTGTTCACTGTCCTCTTCGACTGACCTTGGAATGAAAAGTAGTTGGGTTTTGTACTAGTGGAAAAAAAAAAAGAGGAAAAGTAGTTTGGAAGAGCAGATGGGTAAAATCTGCTTTAACTTAGCAAGGTGCCTGATAACAAATATAATTTAAGGCTCTGAATAGCCCCACCGAAGGCTACCGGGTCACCCATATTCACAGAGACAAACATATCTAACCATCATCTGGTGAAGACTTAGGTGCACCAGGTGGGTTGCTGCCTATTTCTTATTAATTTATGTGCCAAATAACCCCATAACTGCTTTAGTGCATCTTTGTGTATTAAAATCTGTTAATTTCTGTTGTCTCGAGTAGCAGCCGTTAGCAGATGTTTAGGAAGGGCTGTAAAACACCGCGCTGCTCCCACAGCCGGCGCCTCGGGGACGTTCCAGGCTGTGCTCAGGAGCTACCCTCCTGGAAGTCCTCTGGGAATTTCATTCCTTTGGAGCCCGTTTGTGCTTTTGGCTTCCACGGGGTAGATTATTTGTTGTGTGGGAAAGCATCTCCTTGTGCTTCTTTCTCAACCAGCTACTTGAGGCTTTCATCGAGTTGCATCTTGCATTAGGAGGGACGGTGAATAATGTTCCCAACTGACCACCTACGTATTAGTCACGGCTTCCCAGCGCTCCACGCTCCCTCCCGTTGGGCTCTTTCCCGCACGGAGCAGTTAATGCTCTTCAATGCTCCACGGAGGCCGGTCCGGAGGGCTGGGAGCTGCGTGATGTTGGTGTTTGAGCAGATCCCTGGTCCCGGGGACAACACGGCCCCATTCCTGGAGCTCCCCGAGGAGAGGAGCAGGGTCTGCCGTGCTGGTGCTGGGTCTCCCCATGGAGAGGTGCAGCCTGGGGTTTATTTTCTCTCTTGTTTTCCCAATATGCTGATGGGGGGCCACCCGAACCTTTGTGGCTTCCCTCTTGCTGGAGGAGGGTTTTTTGGGGTGCTTTGGAGCTCTGGACAGGGCTTTAACTCCCTAGAACCTGCTATTTTCTTGAGTCCCCGAAGCTGCTCATAATGCTGTAAATGAGGAGTGTTAAACAACGGGGATGAACTGAAAGGTCAGGAGAGACCCTAGTGTCGTGGTCCCCCAGATTTTGGTGCTGAAACATCTCTGGTCTTTCCTGGAAAACGTCTCCTATTGCAAATGCCAAAGGCTTGAGGATGCTCCCAGCGCAGCCAGCAGCGGATCCTTAAAGAAACTCCAGCTCTTTTTCCACTAAAGAAAGCAGGAACATGATAATTAGGGGCCATGTCAGAAGGTAGGCAAATATCCCCTAATTGTATGCAGATGATAGAGCGGGGCTCAACCTTTTGACTAGTGAAGCTTTCCTCAATTTGGGATATTGTGATCCTAATCAGAGGCCTTTATCGCACATCAAAGGGAGCTGCATCCCTCGGGGCCGGCCGCCTTGATTGCGCCGCTTCCTGCGACACGCTCATCCCTGCCCAGGTGTCCTTCCTGCTCTGGACGACTGATTCCTTTCTAGTCTTCATCACCGAGGCAAAGAAATTTAATCCCAATATTACTGCCAGCCCTGGAATGGACCCACTGATTTGGAAATTTCACCCTCTTGTTGCCCTGAAATATCAATGCAGAGCAGCCTCCGATACCTGCTCATTTCATTGCCAACCTCTAACCTAAGGTAGAGCAGACCTGTCATTAGTGTATTCATCGGGTTTAAATCTGTCAGCTTCCTTCCCCTTCTCCTCTTTTGTTTCTCTAATTACTTTGATTGCATCTCTAGCCAGCTCGGGGCTCGTCTTCGTGTCAGCCTCATCGCAGCGTCCTGCAGCGTCCGACCCTGTCAGCCTCTCCCGGAGAGGCAGCTCTGCCAGAGGGAGAGATTTGGGTCTGGAAATTCACTTTTCAGCGCAGTCATGGACCGGGTCCCCAATCTGTAGCCACCACCTTCCACTCCGGCCCCTTCATGGTCTCTCCCTGAGCCCCTCCACTCCGGAGATGCTGGATCAGCTCCTCACACCAGGCTCGGGTCTCGCAGGGATCCGTTTCCACGGGAAGCGGCACCTCTTGCTGTGCTGCCAGCCCCATCGCAGCGTCCTGCAGCGTCCGACCCGGGTTTCATGTCCACAAAGTCATTCTGTCCTAAACCAGCCCCAAGGGAGCGGGTTGTGCAGGGCCCTGTCAGGGCCCTCCGGTTTCTCCGTGTCCCCACAGGACGGTGGAGGGACCCCGGGCACAGACGTGCCAGGGATTCGAAGGTGCTGCTTGTTCAGCCGCTGGGGTTCTCTGTTGCTGGATAAGTCCCTGTAGTTTAAGCAGTTTGACATCTTGCGATGTAACTTGGTATTTAAAGGAAATGAAATGTTTGTGACCGCATTTTTTTTTTATTTATTTTTCAGGGATTGATTAAAATACGAGGAGATCGCTGCTGGAGAGAGCTGACCTGCATGGACTATCACTACGAGGTAAGAGATCCGCACAGCAGCACCGACGTCGCTCGACCACCTCTCCCTCAGCTCTTCCCTCCATGAACCAGTTGTCCCTGTTGTTCATTCCTTATCGTTGCCTTCTGCCTCTGGCAACCCCATCCGTGTCCACGTGCAATGCAGTGACGCTGCTTTTCCCATCCTTGCTCTTTGGAGACCAATTTCTCTCCTCTTCCTCCATCGATGATGGATGGAATCAGGAGCAAACCTGAGCTCCCCCAAGAGCTCCCTTTTTCCCAACGGTGCGAGAGGGACAGGAGAGGCCCTGTCCGTAGCAGCGTGCTGGGCACTTTCTGCTTGCAGCTCCCAAACACGGGCACGTGGGCAGGAGGAGCGTCTCGGTGCAGGCAGGAAGCAGCACGCGAACCGCTCGCCGTTCAGAATTACACGTTTTTCTCTTCTTGACACCTGCTTCGATGGTTTCGTTATGTTCTGATTATAAACTGCATTTTTTGTGCTGGCTCTGAGTGTTGTCTCGTGGGTTACAAGGAGAGGGAGCTCAGCCTCTCCTCTGTGTTCCTATACCTGTATTTTAGCATTGGAATTTAATATGAGCAGTGGGGGGGTTTCCAAAAAAGAAAAAGACACTGTGAGGTCCCGGTGCGGAGCCCGCAGCGTGTCCCGGTGTGGAGCCCCGTGTCCCGGTGCAGAGCCCATGCTGCTGATGCGGAGCCCGTGCTGCTGATCCCCCCACATGTCCCGTGGCGTGCGGTTCTCCACAGACCTTTTTTGGGTCTGGAAACCATTTCCCCCCTGCAGTTAAACCTGCCAGCGCCCGACTCCCCTGACCTTGGGAACGTGTTCCAAGGTGTTACCCACGGATTGCCTTTTACTGGGAGCAGGGGAAGCGGTTGCAGCATCTCTTCCTTTCCACCGTGGTGCAAAGAGAAATCCATGTGCGTGCCAAGGACCCATCCTGTTGTAGGATTGGGATTTCTGTTTCCAACAGAGGAAAATCACAGCAGCTTCCCAGACGCTGGAGCCTTTACCTTTCACTCCCGTGACCCAGTTCTGTGGTTCTTCTTTTCGAAGCAGAATTTTGCTGGTCTGCAAAGCAGCATCTCCCGTTTTGATTTTGATGCTCCTTTTCTGTTTCCTTTTGCCCCGTGGCAGCTCCCGGCTCCTGCTGCCCCCGAGCCCGGCCGCAGCTGCGAAGGCCCTCGTGCTGCTGCTGGTAGTCCCCGCGCAGAGGCTCCCGCTTCATCTTCGCCACGGGCAGGGAAAAAGCAGCCGGAGCCGCCCCGGCTCCGCCGCTGACCCCGACCCGCAGCGCTCGGCCGGCCTAATCCCAAAGATTTCAAATCAAAACCAGAATCCGTTCTGCAGCCCAGAAGGCTAATGAAGACCATTCCTATCATATCCCCAGCGCAGGATCCCCGGCCTGCGAAAGTAATTAGGAACAGGGACACGGGGCAGATTGCGTTATCAATATCCATTATTTTAATCCGCCCCAAAGAGGCTGCAATAAAGGGAAAATGAAAGGGGCTGGCGGCAGCAGACGAGAGGCCGCAGTTCACCTGCCCATGGGGCGTTGGGCAGCCCCGTCCCTGCTCCGTCGGGGTGCGGGACGGTGAGAAAACCTCGTGCCCGCGGGATGAGCCCGTGCAAACAACCCGGTGGAAAAGAGCATGGCTGCTTTTGTTGGGAATATTGCATGGAATCGTGAAGTGTTGTTACGGCTCGGGTAATTAGACGGAGCGTGTTTTTCCTCCCCTCTTCCCCTCGTATGTGTAGGGCCTTAATTCCAGCCTCTATGGAGATCTTCGACTGAAGAACCTCTGCTTAGAGGACTTACGACCTGTAACACTGTAATTTGGAGAGGGAAATGGCAGAATGCAGGGTTACACAGGAAAGGAATTTTCCTACCACCCTGCTGCTCCTCTGCTCCCCGTGATGGACTCGGGAAGTGTGGAGGAGAAGGGAGAAAGAGCCTAGACACGTCCTTGCAGCGCGGAACCCACCGGGCAGCGAGGGCACAAACGCTCCGCCGGATCCTGCAGGAAGCAGGAGGCTCCCGGGAGCCTCTTCCCGCTCCGCCCGGCCGCGATGCTGGGGCCCGGAGCGAGCTCTGCTCCAAAGGGAGCCTCCGTGCGAGCCCCGCGCCGGGGCCGCCAGCACCGTGGGGTTGATCCTGGTGTTCCAGGATGATCCTGGGCGGTTGGAAAGGGAACCTCCTGCCCGGTCCCATGGCCTCCGTGTCCCCGAGCCAGCGCGGGGCTCGTCCGACGGTGCCGCTCGCGGCCGGCGGCCGGGGGCTGCTTGG